CTGCTGGAGGAGCTTTTCTGCATCTGCATTCAGCTCCTCAACAAGACGTGGAAGGAGATGAGAGCCACGCAGGAGGACTTTGATAAGGTAGATCATCACCTCCACCATCTCTCTGCTGATAGGGACTTTTTCACATCCTCTCTCCTTTCATTGTGTTGGTCAGCTCTTACTGAGACTAAACTGTATTTTACACTATTCATAGCTTATTTCCTTTCTGAAATCCACTTATAACTTATATTTTTGCACCAAAAACACAATTTGTTTGACATTTGCATTATACATCCTCTCGCTGACCAGTGTTACTGCTAACTAAAATTATTATAATAATTTTTTGTTAATTAAAATAATACTGGAATAAAATAAAATACAAATATTAGACACAAAATGTAAACTTAAAAAATATATATTTTATTTACTTAGTTACCAGGACAACATTTCTAATTTTCATAAGTTGAATTACTAAAAGTACTAAAGCTAAAATTTGACAAATAGGAATATTAAAATACAAAGAATAATAAAAGCACATAAGAAACTTACTAAACAAAATTACTGCTGAAATTTCTGCTTTGCCATCACGGGAATAAAATTAAATGCTGACCACAAACTTGATAATGTCATTTTACAGCTGCTGTAATTTTATTTTTTTTTTTAAATAAGTTGAATGTGCTGTGAATGCTGTTTCATGTTGACTTTAAAGGCATAGTTCACCCAAAAATTAAAACTCTGTCATTAATTACTCACCCTCATGTCATTCCAAACCCGTAAGACCTTCGTTCAACTTCGGAAAACAAATTAAGATATTTTTGATGAAATCCGAGAGCTTACTGACCCTGCATAGACAGCAACACAACTACCACATTCAAGGCCCAGAAAGGTAGCAAGGACATCGTTAAAATAGTCCATGTGACATCAGTGGTACAACCGTAATGCTATGAAGCTATGAGAATACTTTTTGTGCGCAAAGAAAACAAAAATAATGACTTTATTCAACATGGACTATTTTAACTATGTCCTTACTACCTTTCTGGGCCTTGAAGGTATCAGATGCGTTGCTGTCTAATATGCAGAAAGCTCTTGGATTTCATAAAAAAAAAATCTTAATTTTTGTTCAATGACACAACTTTCATTTTTGGGCGAACTATCCCTTTTGAAGATTCAAATAAGTCATCATAAAGCTAGTGTATTTTTAAAGTCTAATTGGCTATTATTTTAAAATCAAAGTGTTTTAATCACTTCTTGAAAGCATTCATTTGCAATTGAATCGCACAAGAGACGTATCTGAGAAGTGACCAGCTGCCTGCAGCAGTGATTTATAGTTTATAGAACAAATGGATATTGATCGGTTCATCTGGACGTGTCTGCGAAACGTCAAGCTAGTGCAATGACAAGCATGCTGCTCCTCGACCAAAGCGACAGACTCCTCCTTTAAGTGCTTTTGTGTTTATCAACATTCCCTAAATTGTTCCGTTTCCTTTTCTGATGTCAAAGAAAGCTTTCTTACTCCAGCCCAAACTATTCATCGGTGCAACAAAACAGACCTCCGTTTAATAACCGCTTTCAGGCTGTAAACCCTGTGACCTTTGTGACCTTTGGGATGGAGCGAGCGTCCAGCTGACCGGCCTGTCTTTTGTTTTCGCTGATCGTCGCCCCCACCACACCAACCTCGTGGGCAGGGGCTTTATAAAGGGGTATTAGAGGAACAAAAGGAATCCCGCTCCCTCGCAGAAAAACACATCAGCAGTAAACCACATCCCAAAAATAGCTTAGCGTTTTGAAGTGTCAAAATAGCATTTTCAGTGTTTAAAATGCCCTTGTTGTCTTTGTTCTGGAAGGTTTTTTGAAAACATTAACGTGTTAAGAAACATGTGGCGTGTGTTTAACGATTCAAGGGTTGTCTTGATGTCAAACCTGAGAAAAGTAGTCAAAGTTGAGCTCTTGTTTCGCCTCAGAAGGGGAATTAGGCTAACTGTGTGTGTTTTCTAATAACTTACTCACTTAACCGCCTTTTTTCTCTCTTTCTTTGCACCCTGACTGTGCTGTTTCTCTTTAACGACCATTAATAGCTGCTGGCATTTTGCTATTGCCGGCTGGTTTGCGGAGGCCTGTGAAGTGTGTGTGTGAGTTTATTGGTGGGCATCTAGAAGGGAGGGACCATACACTCTCTAACACACACACACACACACACACTGTGTCGCTGTGGTTGTGAGGGGACTGTAGTGCTTTCACTACAGCTGAGGTAGGATGAGTGTTTTGTCTCTTGTGTTGTAGGAATAGAATAAATATTTTAGTTGTATTAAGCAAGTTACGACGGAAGATGTTGATGTGATGTGGCTGTCAGTATGTTGATATATATATTGTTTGAGTAGTATTGTGTCATTTATATGATTGAACTCTCTTTTGCTTGAGTTTGATAACAAGCTCAGTTTCTTTACATTGCAAGCATGTTATGCATATTAAATGCTTAATAGTGAAAGGATAACTTTAAAAAAAGCTTTTTAAAAGCTTTTTCAGGCATTGTGCAGCATTCAGAAATTGCATTGACATTTATTAATGAATGGACTTCATAATAAACGGTTTAAGAATAATATTTTATATGTCATATTTTATCATGCTAAAATGAAATAAACACTTTTTACATTATATTTACTTAAAATTCACCAAAAATGTGTGAGAGACAAAGAGGTAACAATCAAATGTTAACTGGCCAAGTGGGCAGTTTTTAGTTTTTTTTTGGAAGATGCATTAATTTAAAAATCACTGATTACTTAAACTTAAGTAAACTTAAGTCTGTCGCATATATGATACCATTCAAGGTCAGTCTTTTTTATTTAAATTAATACTTTTATTCAGCAAGGGAGCATTAAATTGATCAAAAGTGACCGTAACCATTTCTATTTCAAATAAATTGTTCTTTTAAACTTTATATTAATCAAAGAAGCCATTGATAATACCATTAACATAACATTGATAATAATAAGAATTTTTTCTTGAGCACCAAATCAGCATATTCTTTTCTGAAGGAAAATTCAGCTTTGCTATCACAGCAATAAAATGAAACACTGACCACAAACTTTTGAGTTATCATATCATCAATTCAGTCAGTCATGTCCAGGACCAGTCCGATTTCTTTCTTTTTTTCTGTTTTCAAAAATGTGAGGACTTGAATAATACACTTACATGTTTTTCTTAATAACGTGGTTTTCTATAATATCTCTCAGGTCCGTAACATGTAAAAGATATCAGCAGTCTGAAGTGAGCAGCGTCTCTGTCGTGAGCGTTTACTCTCTTCCAGCTGAGCGAGCGTGTCATTGCAGTCCAGTCTGTCACAGCTGGACGCTCACTACAAGAAAGACCCATCATTTCAGTGTCCGTTTCTCCTCCCCTGCTGGTTTATTCAGGCTTCCCCATCTCCCCTTTTCAGTTCACCTTCATTTCTCTTGACCTGAACCCCAGAGACATGTTGTAGAGGGGTGAGCGAGGTTAAGCGGTCTGTGTGTGAGAGTTTATTGGAGGAGACAGACACGCTGTGGGACTTTTTCAGACAGTCACACACATTGCAAATATAACCCATCAGTTTGTTCTTTCTCTAAAGGTGATGCAGGTCGTCCGGGAGCAGATCACCAGGACTCTGTCCAGCAAACCCACGTCTCTAGAGCTCTTCAAGAATAAGGTGAACGCACTGAACTACAGCGAGATCCTCAAACTGAGACAGACGGAGAGACTCCACCAGGAAGAGACGCTTGCTCCACCTGTGCTGTAAGCAGTTTTTGAATCTTTGAATCAATTGAGCCAATTGCTTCACAAAATGATTCACGGTTTCAAAGCTCTCAAAATCAGTATTAATAGTATTGTTGCTAGTTTGTTTGTCTTTGCTTTCTTCAAGGATGCTTTGCATTTTTAGTTAGTAAAACATTTAAACTCAAATCTGTATTTGGTATCATCCTTCTGTTGTTAAAAATATCTACAAATTAATAAAACTCATCTAGGATGAGGTAAAAACCATGTAGATACTGATTCATGTACAGAGTGGTGAACCATTGAAGTATCTAACAGTTTCAAAACCGTTATTTGCGGTTTGATCAGTGGTCTGAAACAAATGATTCGAAGCGAAAGTTTTGAGTCTTCACAAGGAAGTGTTTCAAAAGCACCTATCACTAACTTTACAGAGCATGTGACTGGCACATATCTCTCCATCACACATGCATTTTCTTGTCTTTGTCAGTGAGCTGAAGGAACGTCTGAAGCCAGAGCTTCTGGAGCTCATCCGACAGCAGAGACTGAACCGTCTGTGTCACGGAACGCTCTTCCGGAAGATCAGCAGCCGACGGAGGCAAGGTGAGACGCCAAGATCCTCTCAGACAGCAGAAAAATATGATCAGGATCTGGAGCAGTTGTCATTGTTTTATGTCATCCCCCCCAGACAAGCTGTGGTATTGTCGGCTCTCTCCTAATCACAAAGTCCTGCACTATGGAGATGTGGAAGGGGAGAAGGAAACGCCCTCCATTGAGGCTCTTCAGGAAAAGAGTGAGTCTGGCTGCTTTAGAATGAGCTCTGTTTTTGAGTAGGTGACCGCTGACTTTAGTCAAATAAATCATTTCATTTTGATATCCCCTCAGTTCCTGTCGCAGATATCAAGAATGTGGTAACGGGGAAAGACTGTCCTCACATGAAGGAGAACAAGGGAAAACAGACTAAGGTATGATGATAAAGTTATTTTCTTTTAGTGGTTTCTATTCATTCTTAAAATTCAAATAAATTCAAAATTGACGAGAGATTCAATATTGTAATTCTAGGTGATAATTAATCATTTAGGGTTATCATGTTTAAATAAAAATATATAAAAGTTATTATTTATGTGGTGCTCTTAATATTTATATAAAAATAAATGCATTAAAATTAATGTATGTGTATGTGTGTATGTATATATATGTGTGTGTGTGTATATATATATATATATATATATATATATATATAT